AAACAATGGATGGAAACTAATCAAGGAGAGAAGCAACCTGGAATTAAGGAGAAACTTCCCAACAGTGAGGACAATTCACCAGTGGAAAATCTTGCCTTCAGAAGTTGTAGGGGCTTCAACACAGAAGGTTTTAAAGACGAGACTGGACAGCCACTTGTCTGAAATGGTATAGGCTCTCCTGCTTGAGCATTGGGTTGGGCTAGAAGATCTCCAAGGTCCCCTCCAGCTCTATTCTAATTGAAGGATTAAAAGTGTTTTAAATTATCTGTGTGGTTACACCTCACATACTTTCTAAATCAATCTACAGAACGAGCCGTAATTGGTGAGATTGCACTACACATTGTAGTATAAATCATAGTACAAACCACAATGCCTAACCTCGTGTAACAATGAAAAAAAAACCATTGAGACTTAGTGTAATATATTAATTCAGTCACAGCGTGGGAAGGAGTTGCAATATTGTATAGGTGAAAGGCACAGTTTAAGAAACTGAAGAATATTTAAAGATAGCCAGAGAGCGTTAGAAAGTGTTTTTGCTAGTTCGGTGCTATAAAGTTTTAATATCATCAAGATTTTAAGTCTGCTTGCATTGTGACATCTTCTCCTGGTTTGTCTGCTTTTCGTTGCTAATCAGAACATGATGAAATGTTGAGTCAGTCCGCAGCTGGCTTGATGAAACATAAAACAGAAAAATCTGAAAGCCAGATGAACTGCGATAGCAGAGACGGAAACTGTGCAGCTCTTTAAACAAAGCAACCGGATTTTAAGATGAGACCTCTTTTGTTTTTATTTTGGTCTATTGCACTTTCTTATGGACTCCCCATCCTTTCAGAGAAGAGAAGAGAAGAACAAAGCCAACAGCTTGCGCAGGTAACAATGCCACAGGGCTCTGAGAAACTTAGAATCAATGATACCGTAGGTTGAATGGTGGGGCTCTTCATATTTTTTGACCTTGCTGTTTTCCGGCAGATGTTTAGCTACCAGTCTACGTTACAACCTCAGTGCCTAGGAGAGGGAAGTTTGCTGGATGTTTATATATAGGAGTTTGCCTTGCCAGCAGTGACATGCAGTGAGGTTTATGGCTGGTGAGGCAGCAATTTTTTTAGACTTNTTAACGTGTTTGTGCGTTGTACAAGCCCAATTGATCATTGATTCATAAGCTATGCTTGAACAAAGTTTAGACAATATGTAACCAAGTCATCTTAAGAATAAAGTCTGTTCTGATTAATATTGTCATGAATGTTTTTGCACACCTAGTTAAAATCTTTTTAAATTTACATTAGATATCTATAATGAGGAAGTTATCTTTAGGTCTGAAAAAAATCAGATTTTAAAATTTATGTTTCTTTCTTCTCCCCCCCACCCCCAGGATATATCTATTTCTTCCGAGGAACAAAAGTGTTTCAGTTTGACCCTAAGAATGAAAGAATTGTTCGTCCCATTCGAAGAAGCAATTCTTGGCTGAACTGTTAAAGCATTTAATCAATGCTACCTATTGGTTATAGCTAATTCTGATTTACAGGCATCACAAAATTTAACAAGCTGGACTGAGAATGCAATAATAACCTGTGGTTTTGTTTTTCATATAATGTAAAGCAATTCCAGCTGATTAACTACATTAAACTCTAATATGTAAATGTAATCTATGCTGCTCCTTGAATAAACTATTTACTGTGAAAGATATGGTGATTGTTTCTTTTGTTTGAACGCATGCAACTATTACTACCGTATTACACAAGAATTACATTGCTGTACTCTGGAGTGACTAATTTAAGAAATGTATAAGGTGCTGGCTAAATTAGCCAAAAGCACAAAAAAAGAGAAATAATATTTAACCATATTAACTTCCATGTATAAAATACTTCATTTACCATGAATTGATTTGAGAAGTCACAGATCACCAATGAAAATGTTAATTCACTTCACTGAATGTGAGGCAATATGAGAAATTCACATTTGTTGTTTGATGTATAATATTAGTCACAGATGTAAAAATTTCCAGCAACACATTTTTATAGTACAGTCATCCAATGATGAAGTACATTTATGAATGAGACTTTCAACCATCCTGATTTTCAGGATAAAAATGTAGCTAAAATATTCTGCAGAGTACCTTATCTACTGCGTACTTTATACTATGGACTACATAATAATATACATTATATCGCTATTATTTCTGCAATGTGTCTTATAGAATTCAGTTTGTACATTTAGGCCTGTAGATTGCTCTTCCTGGAAGAAAATGCCAATAATGTCCAAAGTGTATTTTAGAGAAAATAGAAATATTGGGAAGGTAAGAATTCTGGATTAGACCAGACTCTTGTCAAGTACCTTTAGAGCAGTGGTGGGATTCAAATAATTTAACAACTGGTTCTCTGCCCTAATGATTTCTTCCAATAACCAGTTCACTAAACTGCTCAGAAAGTTAACAACTGGTTCTCCCGAAGTGGTGCGAACTGGCTGAATCCCACCACTGCTTTAGAGATGCAATTTTTTTCAGGTGGCAACTGGACTTCCTTGTTTTTTCTTTACTGAATCTCTACAGATGTTTAGAGATGCAAACACAACATTCTGTGCAGGGCACACATTTTTAGAAGAATATAAACAGCTACAAGACAAAATTGCCATCAATTCAGTGATAACTTCTAGTGACTGTTTACATATAATCTCAGAGTTTCCTTGGTACCGTATGAAAGCAGTTTTCCAATTCTCTTCATATTTTCTGAATGCTTTTTCTTGCCTTTGGGAAGGGCTTTCTATTTTTCTACCTCATTCTCATTCTATCTCAATTTTTTTTGAGGGGGGGAGTGGAATTTCAGAGGTTTATAGTATGATGACTTGATGTTTAAACACCTTAATTGAAGCAAAATGCAGTACGGCTAAGCTTCACATATTACATCAAACCAGGAGGCTATTGCTGCCCCTAATTAAGGAAGCACAATCCATCAGTGCCAAAACTCATGGTGTTTACTAATTTGTTTGTAATTGTGGAGACAGTTACATTGGCAGAACTGAGAGGTGTTTGGCTTTCAGAATAAAGGAGCATCTTCCAAAATGGGTCCAGACAGTCATGAGTAATCCAACAGCAGCAGCAAATCATGGTCACAAAATGCCTTCTTCGGCCATTGCGAGACACTTACTATCTATGGGCAGGGGTGGGCTTCAAAAATTGCAGCAATGGGTTCACTGCCCTGTTGCTAGATGGGCATGGCCATGGTGGACGTGGACTAGTTGGCCTCCTGCACTATAGCGGGGGGCATTTTTCACCATCCCCTGTATTTGGAGGCTTTCCTCGAGCCCTTTTTTGCACTTCCGGAACTTCCAGTAGGCCCATTTTTCACCATCCCCAGGCTTCCCCCTGGCTCTGGAGGCCTGTTTCCAGACTTCCAGAACCTTTGGTAGGCCCATTTCCCCCCCCCCTCCCTGAGCCTCCACATAGGCTCTGCACTTATCTGGCATGATGAATGGGCTGCGTGGTGACTCCTGGGAGGGGCGGGGCAGGGTGGGCATGGCCAGCCAGGGGTGGCATTTGGGGGTTTGCCAAAATGGACAGAATCCTAGCTACAGGATCTCCAGAACCTGTGCAACAAACCCCCGGAAGCCCACCCCTGTCTAGAGGTCACCAGGTGGATCAAAACTCTGCATTTAAAGTTTTACTGCGCCACACAAACTCTCATTTTCTGCAGTTTGCTGTGGCGGTTGGCATTAATCAGTTGAAGCCCCTCTTGTGCATGCAGAAATTTACTTTATGTTAATCTGCACCTTCTGTGGACATAAGGCTTGCCATTGGTTGCTTTCCTCTATACGTTATAAGCTTCATTAATGCTGTTGGAATGATCTCCCCGCAGAGATCCAGACACTTCCCACTCTCTCGGCCTTCCGTAAAGGTAGGTAGGTAGGTAGGTAGG